AAACCGTAACTTTTTGGACATCCAACACACTGCCTCACTGTGTTACAGCTATTATAGATAGATAGATAGATAGATAGATGGATAGATGGATAGATAGATAGATAGATTTCAATTATTAACTCCTTAATACACTGACAGCCTGCAAAATATTTTATAAATCTCTTGACTAAACTAAACATGCATAACTGCTTGGAGAATGTATCTTTTTATCTGCCATCTGCCGTCTGTATTGTTCTCACTTGCTCAGTTGCCCATAACTGATCTCTCATTTGCTGCAGTACTTTGATGTTCTACATTTTTGGCTACAAAAACTTCAGTGTCAGGATTTCACTGTCTTCCTGGTTACAACTTGTACATTTAAAGCTTCACTCTGACCGAGATACCATATCACCACAGCCATGTGAAACAATTTAACAAAAACTGTATGTGAGAAACAGTTTTAATCGTCCCGGTGGTCAATTTGGCGAAGTTGGGATTTTCCTGGCTGCCTGCTGGAGACGAGAAGATCAACTGAGATGGACAAATGGCAGCCATGAACCTGCCATTCCCTCTCTGTGTTCTTCAAACCAGAGAGATGCAGATTTTTTTAAACCTGAGCCTGATTTAGTATTGATGTAATTATAATACTCACCACATCTGAATGATATATTAAGACATATTTCCAAACAGTCTGTTTGGAAAAATATTGTGTCTGATATGTTTTTTTGAAAAAATATATAATTTTATAATTTCCACATTAAAACCCTTTAAAATTAAAAATTCCAGAGTCAATGGGGGATGACTGCTGCAGTAAGGACCTTGGTGCATTGGGTGCCAGTTCTAACAGGTGAGCTACCAGGGCTCCAGGATAGATCTCTTATTGAACAGAGGGAGCCCACATAGAAACCTGAAATATGTCCCTACAGTATATTCCACCATTAAAGAGGATCAAAAGACACAATTACTATTAAGTTTTACCTTTGTTTGGCAGTCAGCAGCCTTTTAACTACTGTATTATCACAGGCTGTGTGCACATACTATAGCATTCTTATTAGTTTACACTGAAGCAGTCTCACATTTTTACTTTCAGGTTGGATTCACTACATTTTTATTGGAATGTATTATGTTCCTGTTGTTGGATTAATAGACTGTTTCAACTTTGTTGATTTTGTGTAAGTGACATTATTCCACATACTTCCAGCTCTTCTCACAACGCAAGACTAATGCATAAGATGAATAACAGCACAGAGTAAAACCAGGACCAGCTTCAGGGTTTCAACAGGATCAATTTAAGACTTAAGACTTAACTGACCCGCATGATGAATATCAATCTAAAGTGACATAAGTCACATGAACTCTGATGTAATTGTTCACAATTCTTCCCCAAAATACATTAAAAAATATTTTATATTCAAAACTTTACATTAACCCAAACAGTGGACACAATAACTGCAGGACGTTTGTGTAAAATGAGGTTTGGATACATTTTGAGCAGATTTACTGTTTCGGGAACTTTTTATACAATTTAGTCTGTATTCTTTTTTAACAATCATATAGATTTAATAGGCTTCTTTTTTGATAAATCCAGTCACCCTTGCCATTAAAACGTGTGTTGTGTTGAAGAAATCTAAAAAAAACTAATACCTCATGGTCATTTAAAATCTCTACTATGGAGAGCCTCAGGTTTCTTCAATAATTATTTATATATATTTATATATATATATAATTATTTATATATAT